GAATGTTGTTGGTCTATTGTGGTTTTGAGAAATCGAGTCAGCAAAAAGTTTACATATTCTAAATAAAATTGATACCATCCGATTTAGGACTACTCTTCAAGTTATTTATAAGGCAGATCTCAATAGTCTTATATTTTGCAATAACTATCAACAAAAGTCAAAGTCAAACATTGTCATTTCTTGCATTATTTTTAACCAAGTTGATATTCACTCATGATTAGCTTTATGTTATGGTTCTATGAGTGAAGACAAAAACACAATTAAAAATATTGGTTATAGATGACAATGATACCCTTAGCTTGCAATTATATCAAAAAAATTTTATACCCCACAGTCTTTCAAAAACTTTGGTATTAAAAAAAACTTGGTTGAATACACATTCAATTCCTCAAATATTGTTAATTCTACTTTGGAATTTGTGTATATAGTATAAAAAATTATAGGGAAATATATTTTCTTTATTCTGGGAAAAAATATTGCATTAAAAAAGTTTTAAAACCAATAAAGATTTTATTTGACCCCGTGCATTGCACGGGTAGAAATACTGGTATATGTATGTGTGTGTGTGTGTGTGCGCGCGCGCGCGTGTGTGTATACACGTTGTGGCATTGAATTAAAAAAATTAATATATGAGTAAATAAAATAATATTTCCTCTATTTATAAATAAAGAATTGATGTTTGACTAAATTTATAATTTAAATTAATTTATTTGAGTTGTGTCATTAAATAAAAAATAAAATTTACTTATTTAAAAAAGCTTATAAATAAAAAGTGATTTGAATTTTTTTAAACATTTTACCAGGTATTTGTTGTTTATTTGATACGAAAATTTTGAATAAATGACATTAGAAACGTAGACAGTAACAACTAGCATTGCAGCTGAGATGGTTTCTAGACGCCTCCTCCTTCCATGCAATCTTGGATTCGATTCTCAGGCGTGAAAAGCATTGGAAAACCCTAACCGGCGGTAAAATCGGCTGGTTTTTTCGAGTTTCAACCGGTTCCCCGGTCCGGTTCAAAAGTGAATGAATTATTTTGCAATTAAATTGGTACAATTAATTCAAAATCCATTTGTTTCCTTTATATTCCGGAGTAAATTCTATAATTGGTCCTTTATAACAAGGGGTTTCCCTATTTAGTCCTCTATTATCAAATATTACCCAAGTAGTCCTTCTTTTATGTGTACCTTTCCACAAATAGTCCTTTTTTTGATTTTCTATCATGTTGGTGTTAATTTGAAGGCTAAAAGTGTAATTTCACAACGATAATATATCTTTTTTGTTATACACAATTCCAAAGGTTGTTCCGTTTGCATCGTTTGTGAATTACAGTCGCTTTTTACGATAATTATAGTCTACAAATGTGATCTTTCGTCAGAATCCTAGCCCACAGTCATAGTCATTATTTTTGTGTTATCCGCTTAACCAATATCAGAACACGTCACTAGACATAATGTTGACATCAACTTATACTGTTAGCCTTTAAATTAACACCAACACGGTAGAAGATCAAAAAAAGGACCATTTATGGAAAGGTATATTTAAAAAAAGGACTGTGGGGGTAATATTTGATTATAGAGGACTAAATATGGAAACCCCCTGTTATAAAGGACTAATTATGGAATTTACTCTATATTCCGTAGAAATACTATCTCTTATTTGCTTCCTTTAAATTGGTACTCCACTGCCAATAAAAATTAAATGCCAAAAATTACAAAGGATCTTTTTAAAGCTTTAATACTCTGTAGAAATGGGCATCCAGTAAGATTTGAAAATTGCAATACACAAAAAAAATCTTGAAATCCTTCTATAAATATAATTAAAAAAAGCAAAACCTTAATACACACCCTCAATTGCCATCATCACCGGTTTAGTAAAAATGGCTTAGATCTGGTTTTATAATTTTATTTAAGAACATTAATAAATAGAGTATTTAATTTAGTTAATTGGGGAAGGAATCTTCTTAATTAAAAGAAATGAATTAATTGTTATGTTTCCTGCCTTTCTCAATACATAATTCACGGCCGTTGATCAAGCTGTACCGATAATCTATGGTCAATATGCACCGGCATTTGGGCGGGAAAAAATTGTGCAAGATTTCCCCTGCTTTTAAGTAGAGTATAGATAGATAGATAAGCATGTTTGTACTTGTTCTTTTTTACAAATATCTCGTTATTTCTAAAAGATTGACACAATTTGACTTTTTAATTTGACTATGACACTCTTAACTACTCCCTCCGTCCTAAAACTTCCTTCCCGGTTCGCTAAACGAAGAAAAATCCCAAGTTTTTTCAAACTATTTTATTTAAATATTGGTATAGAAATAAAAAATAAAACATACATATTTAAAAACTACATCAAAAGTATAACAAAACAAGTAGTGACACGAATATTTTATTTTATCATATAGGTCATTAAAAAACACAAATAAATATAAATTCCCGTGAAGTTGGAATAGTGCTCTGGGAAGAAAGTTTTAGGACGGAGGGAGTATAAATTTAATATAGTTTACAACAATTAAATATTATAAAAAAAATCGATATTGATTCATTTTTAGAAATACTCGTATTAACAACTTAACAATTGGCAAAAAAATTTCTGGGCAATAGCACGGCTGCGAATGTCTGGCCTAGTCAAGAACAGCAAAAGGTGGACATTATTATTAACAAATCAACACGGTAGAAGATCAAAAAAAGGACCATTTGTGGAAAGGTATCTTTAAAAAAAGGACTGTGGGAGTAATATTTGATTATAGAGGACTAAATATGGAAATCCCCCTATTATAAAGGACTAATTATGGAATTTACTCTATATTCCGTATAAATACCATCTCTTATTTGCTTCCTTTAAATTGGTACTCCACTGCCAATAAAAATTAAATGCCAAAAATTACAAAGGATCTTTTTAAAGCTTTAATACTCTGTAGAAATGGGCATCCAGTAAGATTTGAAAATTGCAATACACAAAAAAAAATCTTGAAATCCTTCTATAAATATAATTAAAAAAAGCAAAACCTTAATACACACCCTCAATTGCCATCATCACCGGTTTAGTAAAAATGGCTTAGATCTGGTTTTATAATTTTATTTAAGAACATTAATAAATAGAGTATTTAATTTAGGGGCTGTTTGGCAACTTCTGAATCGGTAAGTGCTGAACCAGTAAGAGGTCTGAACCATTAAGTGCTGAACCAGTAAGAGATCTGAACCATTAAGAGCTAGTATATTGCTTAACTATTCAGAGGCAAATGTATGATCAATTTAGATAAGAGGTCTTAACCATTCAGACTCTGTATAATACTTAACCATTCAGAGGCAAATCTCTTAACCATTCAGACATCTGAACCATTAAGAGGTTGAAACAAACAGTCTGAACCATTAAGTGCTGAACCATTCAGACATCTGAACCATTAAGAGGCTAAAACAAACAGCCCCTTAGTTAATTGGGGAAGGAATCTTCTTAATTAAAAGAAAGGAATTAATTGTTATGTTTCCTGCCTTTCTCAATACATAATTCATGGCCGTTGATCAAGCTGTACCGATAATCTATGGTCAATATGCACTGGCATTTGGGCAGGAAAAAATTGTGCAAGATTTCCTCTGCTTTTAAGTAGAGTATAGATAGATAGATAAGCATGTTTGTACTTGTTCTTTTTTACAAATATCTCGTTATTTCTAAAAGATTGATACAATTTGACTTTTTAATTTGACTATGACAATCTTAACTATAAATTTAATATAGTTTACAACAATTAAATATTATAAAAAAAATCGATATTGATTCATTTTTAGAAATACTCGTATTAACAAATTAACAATTGGCAAAAAAATTTCTGGGCAATCCCACGGGTGCGAATGTCTCGCCTAGTCAAGAACAGCAAAAGGTGGACATTATTATTAACAAATCAAAACAGTTGAGATTTTTCTTTCAAAAAAGCACTTGACATTTCTTTAAATTTTAAATAAATTCACTACAGTATTTTGATATAACATCAACTAAAACAACTAAAAAATGCCTTTATTTGCGTTTGAGTAATATTTTCTATAATGTTAATTACTTATTTTGAACACATAACTCAAAATTTAGAATTAATAATATCATTCCTCCTAGAATTTATTATTTTTGATAAAATATTATATTTTCACAACTCTAAGTAAAAATATTTTTAATACCTCTCTAAGATTCCATAAACCATAAAATATACAAAAAAACATTTATAATAATTAATAAAATACACTCCTCACCTATATAAGTAAATTTTAAATTTTTTAATTATACGTTTACATTATTTTAGCTTGATTATATTAGATAAATATTTACACCTCTTAGATAAAATGTCTTCCCCACCTAGAAATAAATTTTAATATTTGCATTGTCACCTAATACAATTTATTTTAAATCCTTTAACTAATAAATAAGATAATTTTAAGATAATATTATTTCATAATTTAATACTCCGTAACTTTTACTATCTTCATTTATAATAAATTTTTCAATTCCCTAAAAATATCAATTACTCCGGGGTAATAAATAAGTTGCATTTTTTATTTCTAAATCAATGTCCTCATATGAGTACTTTTGTGTGATAGGTTATAATTAAGTTATTTTTTATCCGCGGCTGTTCAGGCAAATCGGTGCCAACTCTCTCGATCGGGGAGAGTAGTCAGAGAGAGAGAGAGAGAGATCTATTTGGGGTACACCTTTCCGTAGCATTTTCCAAAAAAAAATCCAACTTGACCAAAAGAATAAAACGATAAAACAGTAAAGTGGAGGACTCACGCCATAACGAATATCTATGATGCACAATTATTAAGAATTCTAGGAAAGATGATCAATCAAATTGTACCAGCCGTTACGCATGAGTGGCTGGAGGGGGGGGGGGGATTGTCAATTCAACATGACAAAGCTAGACCTCATGTGTAGAGCTAAGTGGCCCATAATTTTTTCAGTTGGTTCAAGATGATGGCTTGAACATTCAGCTCAAATTCCAGCGACCCAATAGTCCAGAACTCAATGTATTAGATTGGGGCTGGTTAGGGCCTTAGACTTAATCAAGGAACAAGAATCTCCTAAGACAGTGCAAGACCTGGTCATTGCAGTGCAAGCATCCTTAGAGGAGTTCACACCACAATCACTGAACAAAGACCTCTTATCATACAACCCTGCAATGGGTGAAGTGATAAAGCATAATTGATGGGAATTAAGAAGAGAATACAACCACACCAAATACTAATTCCCCACTTGCAAGAGTAAGAGGATCAAAAAACAACAACAAGCTAATAGCAAATAAGCACAAACAATAAAGAC